TGACTTCACGTCTCCACCACTAAACTAAAGGAGGACTAGTGTTCCAGTGAGGACGTTAAGTCGTCTCATTTACTTTTTTAAGACACGTAAAAGCTTCTAAATTAACCGTGGGATAACGGTATTGGTGCCATCCATCTTTAGGGGGCGCCACAAATGGGGGAATTTTTAACTAATACTATTTCAATAAAATTGTTCCAAATTATTACAAAGAAAAGCCCACAACAAAAATATGAAGCCTGCTAATCGTCCCTTGTTCTCGGTTGCCTGCAGCATCGCTTCTCGCTCTTAGTCTGACTTACCTGAGCAGGTGAACGAGCAACACTGATCCTGAAAAGTGATACGATTAAAATAATTTCCCTCGAATATATTATATCACGTTAAAAAGCCCTCTGGGGCACAGGGGAGAAGAGAAGAAGAGAAGAAGAAGTGATGAAGGTGCAACGGATCACAAAACATCAGATCGTATCACGGTTCTGAGTCACAGATCAGGGCAGCAGTGCTGCCTTGAGCACCAAATCGGTCAGATTGATTTTGGTTCAGCAGCTTTTCTTTTGTTTGTTGTCAATTTAATGACCAGTCTGACTAATCCAATCAGTCCAATCCCTGTAATTCCTTTAGGCTGTAGTTCTTAAATTCAGTGCACTTATTACACAATCCAAGGATATTCTGTCTTTGCTTTTTATTTTATATTTTAATTAACTGATAAATGATGATGAAGAATCAAGGGAAACCTTTACCAATAAATATGCACAAATGTGGATAAAGTTCGGATGAAATATTGATATGTATTTCTCTCTCTTAAGCCTTCTTAAGCCCCTTAAAACTACTCAACTAAGTATTTATCTGTAATATTAAGTATTCATTACTAAATAAACAACAATTTACGGTAAAGTCTGACAAGTTTAGATATTTTTAATAAAAGTTTCTTAAAAACTCATCAGGAATGAGAGGGTGTGGTTTTTATTGGCCAGACTAAATCTGATTGGTGCAAGGACATAAGACATTACATTTCCCAATGTTAGCCCCGCCCACTGCAAAACCAGTGAGAACGGCACAAACGAAAACAGAAACGACCGAATCTAGCATGTGAAACAATATAAACAGTTTTAACTTTGGATAGAAAAAATTGTCTCAAAAAATGTCCTTTAAAAATCTCACCTGGCGTACGGCTGCTCGCAGTAGTACCAGGTGATCCGCGGGGCGGGGAACCCCTCGGCCACACAGCGTACCTGTCCGTCCACCGGACCCTCGTGAGACACGATCTCAGGTTTACCTACAAAACAAAAACACACGTCAGGACATGTCACGGACATTAAACCTCAGTGAGGCGTGACTGATACACAGCGACGTGAGGTGGAGATCAGGACCTCATTTCACACACAGAAAAAATCAAATCAATGAAACCTATTCCCACATGTCAACGCCAGAAGATTAATGCAATGTGCAGTGATGGAGTTCATTATGTGGCTTAAGGGAACAGAAAACCTTTAACACACACACAAAAAAATAAAAACCGATGAACCAACTTACTGATCACAAAGATGGTGAACGTGTAGTTTACTGAAGCGTCACCGTTGGAGGCTTGAAAGGTGTAAACTCCACCCTCTGACACCTTCAGTCGCACCAGCCTCAGCTCGCTGCTGTACCTGAACGCAAAGCAATTACATCGATTCAGCATCAATGCGTTAAACATCGTATACACTTTGTATTTTACTTTTTATATTCAAGTTGACTTTTGAAACTCTGGAACAAGAATTTCCTTCAGGATTAATAAAGTTCTATCTCATCTTAATGCATTTATCAATGTTTAAGAACCAGCAGTAAAAATGTCAACGCTGCTCGAGGAAGAACCTGAAAGGATCTGATATTTTCATTTTAGATGACGACCAGTCTGTCGTTTGCCTTTTGCTTGTTTAGGCACAAATTGCAGTTTCCAATTATTCTGGCGGATAAATGTCTAAGTATTGATTTATTGATTACTGTGCTCCCTCGCGTACCCTTAATCTGCTTGAGGGGGGGCCTTTTCTTCACATATCACAAGCGATGATTGTACCAAAACAAAATGAAACGTGAGCCAAAATGCATTAAGCTGAACATGCAGCCTTGGATAACATTATGTAATATCTCTATCTGCAGCGCGGAGGTAATACTGCACATATTTCACGCTTTCTTGTCCTGTGAAAAGCCATTTATATTCTGACAGCTCCCGTTTGGCCAGAAGCCCCCGGAGCAGTTTTTTAGAGTTCCAGCTGTATTTCTCAGGAAGCCGTTAGCAGCAGCACCTCCACTGACCTGCAGCCGAATCCAAAGATGTCAAATTCCACCGAGCGGGGTTAATGAACATTTTCATCTAAGTGGTAAAACTAAAGGCACTTGGAGGCAAGTGTGCGTTTGTGTGTTTGTCCCACCTGTACTCGTGGCTGTGTGTGGTGATGACGTGGTCCGTTGTGTTCCTCAACTCGTGGCCCATGAAAGTCCAGGAGAACGAGTGCGGCTTCGGATAAGCCTCCATGTCAACGTTCAGGGACAAGCTCTCGCCCGAGCGGACGTGGATGGTTTCATTGATTGTGGGTTTTAAGTTGATGAATCCTTTCTCTGAAAAATAAGAGAAATTAGATATTTTACAGGGATTTGCAGAAGTGAAATTGAGTCTATTTTTATTGGAGTAGAAACTGATTTAAAAGTGGTCAGAAAGGAACCCAGCAGCTGCATATAAACAGCTCCCAGTCCAGAGACGTGGGGCAGAAACAACAATAATGAATCACAGCACAAATGTACATGTAAGGCAAAAGTTTGCCTTTTGGGAAATACGTTTATTTGCTAAGTAAGATGAGAAGTCATATCTGGCAGTTGGTTAGCTTAGCTTAGCATAAAGACTGGAACTAGGGGGAAACAGTTAGCCTGGCTGTGTCCAAAGGTAACTAAAACCACCTACCAGCACTTTTAAAGCTAAGTAACATGTATATCGTGTTTGTTTGATCCATACACAGACTCAGGCATAATAACATTATTTTATTTTTTTAAATGTGGCATTACGTGAAGACAGCAGGAAGATTCCAGTGGTACAAAAGTGAAATGTTGTTTTTGTAGGTGTTATGTCAATGAGACTTCAGCACACAATTCATTCAGCATCACTCTTGTGATAGATTTAACCATTTATTGGGGGGTTATGACTTTGCTGTCCTGCATGAACTATTATTATTATTTACCCATGATTCAGTCGGCACCATCGAGTACCCGGTGCTGCTGTTAATGTAGCTGCTATTGTGTAAATGTGTCTTTCTGTGTCCTGTGTGGATGTGATGTGTTGTGTGCTGTTTGTAACATGTTGATTAGTGAGCATTAGAGGTGCTGGTAGAGTGGGTTTTTGCAGAGAGCCAATCTAGCCGTTTCCACCTGTTTCCATTCGTTATGCTAAGCTGAGCAAAGCTAATCAACTGCTTCACGTTTACCTAACAGACATGAGACCACGGAGGCACAAAGAGTCCTGGATACACAGCGGTGGAGGCGAGGCCCAGTTCATTCCAAAGAAAGTTGCTCAGTGGCGCTCGAAGCTAAAAAAAAGTTTGACAGCTGTGTATAAAATTACCCAAATCTTCCACATCCACAGGCCGTAGAGAAAGAACACCTGCATTCCCTTTAACCCAGCTTCCCATTCGCTCGGTCACGGCTCAGTTCATTATGCAGAGGAAAATAACTCTGCTTTGGTTAATAGTTTATTCTACAACTAATAGTTTATTCTACAACTTTTAGGACCCAATGATTTAAATATATTAAAGTGTTATTATAAATTTAAATTAAAGTGTTTATATATATATTCTCTGATTTACAGACGTCTCATCACTTGATGGACCTGGAAGTAATAATTCCCGGTTTGGACACAATGTGAAATGAAAGCCCGGCGCTCTACCTTGAGGCTTATATGAGACTGATATCAAACTTCTCATCTAACTCTCAGCAAGAAAGCAAAATAAGTGTATTTCCTAATATTTTCAAAATTGGGGATACTTCAAATTTAATCTCAAGAAATTCAACAATTCAACGACTGATTGACAGGTAGCACTTTGTGCTTCAGATCTCTCTTCATTCGACGGTTACATTTCCAAATTCATTTCTTTACGACATCAAAAGTTTAGCTTTAAACGGAGAAGAAGCAAACGTCTTTGTGTACTCACCATAAACATCGAGCCACGCCGACTGCGAGCTGACCCCTCTTTCGTTCTGGGCTTCACACCGGTATCTCCCAACGTCTTGAGGTCCGACCGCTGCGATGTGCAGCGTGGCGCCGCGCACGTGACTGAAGTTCTCCGTCAGGATGCGTGAAGCACCGTCAACCTTTACTGGTTGCTGTGGATACCAGACGGCACCCTGTCAACGCCCAGAGATCTCTAGAGATTAACCCTGTCTGCTGGTCTATGCTTGCCAAGCACACAAACACTGACACCGGCTGCATGCAAGTACACACACACACACACACAAGGATGTTCACGCCCATACGCACACGGTACACACACAGCCAAGATCCAGAAGCTTAGCCAGCGAGAACTTTGACCCCTTTCACTCTCGTTCATAAGAAGAAACAACCACTGATACCAGGTAACAGAAAACTATTCCATTTACAATAATACATAAAACCAATATTCAACTTGTGATGTCATTTTTTGTGGATTAGAACGCCGCTTTTTAATGATTGTCGCTCAGGTTTGGGACGTTTAAAGACAGTTGAGATTGTTTAATTGGGACCAGTTTCCTGGTTATACCGCTGGTATTTGTGTGGTTGACTCTTCCCTTTTAAAGTTACTCCAAGGAACTTTGATTTAGTGTTGGTTCTGGTGGTCTCTGTGGACAGAAGTGGAAGTGTTCCTGAGCACCAGAGTCTTTCTAGAAAACCTCTAATTTTACTGTGGCAGGGTCTGACAGTCTGCTCCTCTCAGTCCTGGTTCTGGTTCTCCCGTGCCTCCCTTCCCTCCAGCGGGTCCAGCAATACATCCTGGGTCTCCAGCAGCAGTTCTCCCAGAGAGGAGAAGCTCTTCTCCTGGAGGAGGAGGAGGAGGAGACGCTGCTGCTGCCGGGAGCTGAGCTCTCCTCCTCCCTCCGGAGCTCCGACTGCAGGTCCAAGGCTGCAGGTGAAGCCGGATCTGGGTCTGTCCACGGTGGACCGGTCTCTGCTGGAGGATCTGGGTCTGTCCACGGTGGACCGGTCTCTGCTGGAGTCTGAGCTGAAGGAGTTTCTGGTGAACCTGCATGAGCTTATCTGGTTTCACCAGAATCCGACCCGGTGGCTCCGATGACGAGCATTAAGAATAAGAGCATCTTCTCTCTGATGGTCTCTTCACTGATGGAGGTCTGATAGAGGATCAGGACTAAACTGAGACTGGTTCAGGACCAGTTAAAAGCTCCTCACAGTAACTTTAAGTAAAGAATCAGATCAAAGCTATTTTAAATCTAACAAGACTACAGTCAACACTCAGTGTTCAGTATTTTAGTTGAATCTTCCACCAACAGCACAGCACACGGCAAAGGAAGGGAAGAAGGGTCTCACCGAGCCAGGAGGGGGGATCCACTTAAGCTGGATTTCTGCGTTGACGTTGGTGGTGTTGCAGGTGAGGGAGAGACTCTCATTCCGCGTGAGAATCACTCTTTTGGTTGCCTGCATCTCAATCACAGGAGGAGCAACAGGGACTAAAAAAAACAAAACAAGCAAATGTGACTGAATGTTCAACACTGTCTCCGACAAAATGACATTCCCATACAACTAGACTACATCCTCAAGTACACTTCGAAGGAAACGTATTTTCCACAGATTACAGTCTGAGTATGAAACACGTGGTTAATAATGTAAACTGAAACAGAAACAAAAGATGCTACAAAACGACTTGTTTACACTTACTACAAAACATCAAAGTTTGCATTAAAATGACTACGAAATTGAAAACAAAAAAAACAAAAAAACTACTTGGTTCACATGAGACAAAAACAGCAGTCGCCTGAGTGAAAGTCATTGTTTTGTTCCCCAAAACTTGTTTATGATACATCAAAACACGTCTCCCTCCAAAAATGTAATTTCTAGCAGACAGGGCTGGCTTTTGAAGCCACTACAACACACTTGAGTGCATTGACACCTCTTTACCTGGCCTCACTGTCAGGTAGTAGTCATGCGATCTGGCGCTCTCCTGCCCGAGTCTTCCCGTGCACACATAGCATCCTTCGAAGGCCTTTTGTGTGTTGTGGATGACGATGCCTTGCTCCGGGCTGGCAGAGAACTGGAGACCAGAGGCCGGAGCTCTGCTAGAACATGTTTCCAGGCGCAGGTTGTCCAGACTTGGATCGGTTGCCAGGCAAGGGATGGAAGCATTGTCTCCCACTCGAGTGAGAATGTTGAACACCATTGATTTTCTGAAGGGATTGTCAGGATCTGCCAAGAAACGGAGGCGTCAGAGCTGTAAACAGGTCTGCACACTGAGCTGATGAGGCTTTCGTTGGTGATCATGTGCCATGGTGTAACAACGCAACACTAACATACACTCTTTTCCCACCACTATTTTGTTATTTTGAGTTATTGCCATATGAATTCACAGAAAATGATGAATGTGTTTAATCGAGTTGAAAAAGCGAAATCAACTCTGAAAAACCGCTGCCGTCGTTAGCTTCATTTCTCAGTGCGGTGGCCTTTGATGGACATCTGGAGCTAAACGACTTTACCAACCGTAGTTACCGTGATCTTAACAGACAGCAGCAGTTGGTGCGGTGCTTGAGATTTCAGGTAAGTTGTTTTTATTCATTTAAAGTGTACTATTAGCAATTAGGTAGTGTAGAGTTCATCGCTCTGTCTGATCAGGCCTTAACTCCTTAATCACAATCTTAGCATAGCACTATATTGCCTATTATGGTTTCGAACAGGTCATGATTCGCTATGGACTCAATTTCAACTCTGACCTGACTGGACCTGGTCTTGGACTTGATTAGCCCCACCTCAGCGACACCCACACACTGCATTTTGGTGAGTAACAGTGAATGGAAGTAAGTAAGTAAACGGCTTTACCACACAGAACAGAACCCTCTTTTATCGGACCATTATCTAATAACTTTTGAATTCCTACTAACGGAGTGTACGCCATTAAGCAAAAGTTACTACACTAGATGTCTATCTGATGGTGCCGTAGCTATGTACATATTGTAAAGCCCTCTGAGGCAAATTTGTAATTTGTGATTTTTGGCAATACAAAAATAAATTGAATTGAATTGAACATTTCCCACGGCTGCTGCTTCACATTAACGGCGTTCAACTGTGAAGCAGTCGCAAGAAAATGCAATGCATCTGTCACCGCGCTGAGCAGCGACCGCAACCATTCATCCAAATGCATCCATACAAATAAAGCAAGGGCCAGTTTTGACAGCAGATCACAACAACGTGGGCTTGTTTAAATACCATTAGCAGAAACAGACACACCAGCTACTCTTCTGTCTTCAGCCAGAACCGAAATCTTAAGGATTACGTCGATAAATCTACCTTTTTTTTCTTCTTCAAATTCGTAGAACTAACAGACACAAGGAGATCTGATCTGCCAAAAACGATGACTCAGCTGCAGCTTCTATCGACCTTACAGAAGCCAAGTTGCCAGAGCTTGAATTGTTCGATGACAATTAATCAAATCCAAACATCTTGTGACAATGCTACATGTGTGCCTCTCATCATAAAAGTAGTTGCTGCGTGTTGCCTGGACGGTGTGAACTGTGGAGTGAATGATAAGCACATGATGTTCGCCTGCAGCGATGGCAGCAGGCCAAGGAGATGTGGAGTCACATCGAGGTGGAAACGCAGTAACACTCCACTATGCACTCGATAAATAGTTAGAGTATTTACTCTACCTGTCCGGGGCAAAGCTACAAACACCTTTCTCTGCGAGAACACCCACACATCCTGTTCCCTGTACTCTGGATTTCAGTTCTCTCTCACACACAAACACCACGTAAACTCAAACACACGCGATCTACTGGATACACTTGAACACTTGACGGTTACACGCAGCTACCTTTCACATAGACGTAGATGGAGGTTCGCTCCTTGGTGCTCTCCTCCAAGCAGATGTAGCGGCCCATGTGAACAGGCTGGGCCCTGGGGATGCGCAGCGTGGACATCCCAGCCACCTTTTTCTCTCCCCGCACCTTCGGCCGGTCCTCCCGCTGCCACTGCATCTCCTTCTCACCCTGGCAACGCAGCTCGAAGGGTGCGTTGAGCGGGACGACAAGGTGGGGGTCGACGGGGGTGATGGTGGGCTTGGTGTTTCCTATAAAGTGACAGAGAGGGAAATCAACTGCATGTCAAACATAACAAAGTCACGATGAGACAGTTTGTGTTATATATACATATGTTAGAACAGTAGTCCCATTTTCACCACAGTGGAGTCATTTTCTCATAGACTTCTATACAACCAGAGGAGTTGCCCCCTGGTGGACACTAGAGAGAATGCAGCTTTAAGACACTTCAGCATCGGCTACACTCGGCAGAACCGGAGGTTGCCGCCTGGATAAAACTAACAAGACTCGAAAGTCATTTACTTAAATGAAGATTAAACACGACAATTGAAGCTGAACTGCACACTTACACGTTTGTTTAAGCTATGAACTAAATGATATGACTGTTCTTTGATGAAACAAATCATAGCTGGTGTTAATTAATATTGACATTTCTTCACAAAAAAAAAATTTGCATTTCATGGTTGAAAATGGCTAGAAAAGCCATCTACTGTTTTAAATCAACCTTCATTTTTCCAGTGCAAAAAACGTTTGGGACTAATCGAAATAAAATAAAGTTAACAACCTCTCATCAGACCCCCCCCCCCCTTACTTTTTCAGTAACCTCTATGAAGCATTACAATCACAGCACAGCTCATATAGCGGCTGGCTAGTTAGCTAGCTAACGTTAGTTTGCTAAACACGCCATGTTTTTATACTGAAGTTACACTGCTTACAAAAAATGAGCAGGAACAGTTCTTGTCTCATTTGTGGTCTGATAGACGGTACAACCATCGAATTCAGCGCCATGTCGCCATTTTCCAAGGTACTGTAGCCAGCGGTCATCAGCTACGGGCTGTCATACTTGTCCAGGCAATCGTCACACACATTTTGTATTTTAGATATGCCCGAACAAGTGGGTAAAGTTAGTTTAACTTTGGTCTTTGTTGTAATTTGATAGCTGCTAAAAAATAAATGTATTTGTTTAGAAAAAATTTACTTCGTACAAGTGTGACAAAAAACAACAACATTAAAGTTGAACCCTGTCTTTATGTTGACTCAAGAAGACAGATATAATTATTAGAAATCCTCAAAGTTGAGCAATGCTACAAGAGTAAAATCATGTTCTCACCACTAAGTCTATGTGTCAACATCTGCAAAGATTCATGTGCATTGAAACAATCCCTGATCCAAAAGCAAACAACAGGATCATCCCCTCCTTCAAACTAAAAACACAAACAAACAGGGTTTGTTCTGGCTCTCATTCCCATCATTGATTGGGAGGTTGTTTTTTGATACACAGCTGGTTACACCTATATACTGTAAATATAAAAGTTGTTGTTAAAGCAGCGGTTCCCAACCGATAATGGCTTGCGACAAAAAATCAAAAACAAAGCGAAGTCCACTAGTGACCCCTCAGCAAGGGGTTATAGCCTCAGTGTGGATGCTGTGAGCAGGTCAAAGACATGACACAAACAGTGGGAAACATGCAGTATTTCATGAGTAGATGGTGAAAAATACAGCTTGAATTATCAAGTGACCCGTCAGATTCATTTTGGGACTTCTGAGTGTCCTCACCACCGTGTTAAAGGTTTGTAACAAAAATATGATTTAGATCGTTTGAGAAACCGACATTTTTATTGATCATCCGCAACTCCACCGATGTGACTTCAGCTGCACTTAAGATTGTTCTGACTATCGTCCAGGGCTCAGTGTGCCAGCAGGAGTCAAACCTCTTGACATCGGGGAAGCGAATGAGTAATATTTATGTTGAGGTATTTTTTTTTATTGAAGCCACCTGTGATAAAACACTGCAGGACTGCGGCTGCAGCTTCCTCTGGTGAGACGGCAGCGGAGCGTTAAAACACGTGCTGCGTTGTGGACCGGGCCAGAAAGGCCATAAGGGCCAGAAGGGCCAGCGTGCTAAGACCACATGGCCCGAGACTTCCGATGGAAGTCGAAGGCCTGGGCCCTCAGTATGCCCAGTGCAAACTTAGCATCATGGGTGCTTATGGCGTGAGATAACCACTAGAGCCCCTTAGACCCCTCGGTGCATGGTGTGAGGGCCCACAGACCCCTTGATGTTTAAAACATAAGCAAGCCTATCACTAGGACCCTCCAGACCCCTCACGCTTCCAGTGTGAGGGCCAATAGACCCTTTGAAGTTTCAAATGTTAGCTGACCACCAGGGCCCCCAGTACCCTTGTAGTTTAAAACCTAAGTCAGCTGTCCATGGCGGCCCCCGGACCCCTTGCTGTTTAGAATGTAAGCTGATCACAAGAGCCATCCCGGGGCCCTATGAAACCTAGTTTGAGGGTCCATGGGACCCTCTGCACTTAAAGCATGAGCTGTACGTCATTAACCCGAAACGACCAGACCCGATAATAAATAATGGTGTACTTTAATTAACCTCCAGGTTTCTTTATGGTTCTGTAAAGACACTTTTAAAGTCTAAATATATATCGTGGCAGTTATTTACATCGATCAATGTCGACAAAAAAATATATCATGATAACATCCAAAAGACATGTGTCCAAATCCTCCCATCCCTCCTTTGATAAAGAGACATCTCAAGCATGAACACAAACAGGGCGTGGTGATGATGGTGATGATGGTGATGATGATGATGATGATGATGATTGAAGGACAGAAACGCTTAAATTCATAGAATCAGAGGACAGCCAACAGCAATGTGTCATTGCGCAGAAACGGTTCCGTTTAGAGGCTGTCAGTTCTGATGTTCTGTTTGCAGAGCGGCTAACAGTGTGATCTAACGTCAGGGGTTGTTATGAAAAAAACAGCCTCTACAAGTTCTGAGGCATCATTTATATGTGTATATTGATTAAGCGCGAGCAAACACGGTGAATTAGGTCTGTAAACAGGCTGGAGGCAAAACTTAATGGCATCACATGACAGGCCAGCCCTGTGCGCACACACTGCGTAAAGATGTGGCCATCATTTAAATCCCCCGATGATGGCGTGAACATCGACGTGCGCGTCGGATACTCTCAAGATGTCGATCAGATGGAAACAAGGAGCAGAAGAAAAAAAAGAAGAGTCCACCTGATGCAGGAGGCTCGCCGGATAAACCGAGCGTGCATGGCGCGCAAAGTTAAACAGAAACACTTGTTTTTCGGCACAGATGGCTCCATGCATGCCAGCTTCTCCATAAAAAATTTTTTGCAAGCCAACTTTGGCAACTTTCCTGACAAGATAAAACAGTTGACTTCGAATGGACTCGCACACAAACAGAATAAACACGTCTTAAAAAATGAAGCTCCAAATAATAAAAATAGACAGATACGTTTGCGCATAAAAAAGCCAATTAGTCGAAGTCGAAGCCAAAATCTCCCCTAAAATGGACGGGTTAACAAGTGAGAAATGACATAAGCATGTTGTGGATATGCCAGCTAGTTTGCATGCTTCCTCGGAATCAGGAGTTGCCACTATATTTCCATAATGACGGTTTATCTGAGGGGAAAACCGCATGAACCTGCCGCGTTTCCTCGAGCACAACACGGTGAAAAAGTCTATTTCCATAGCGCTCAATGTTTATTACTCAGCATCCTATACTTATTTATTATTATTATTATTGTTATTAATGGCGCCCTGCTCACTGAATAAAACATGAATTATTAAAAGATAGGCATCCAGATCATGCACCAAAGTGTCCGCTTTCCTCATCGGGTTTCAGCGACTTCGCTTCAGATCTCGTTGCACCGGAACAAAGAAAAAGTGGTGAAAATGCATCACGAATAACGATGCAACAACTCCCTGTGATGTGGATTATCTGGGCTAAAGGGAGCTGAACACCCGCAGACATTTAGAGATACGGTCGATCATGCGTTGTACCCCCTAAATAAAACATTAATAAAAATAAAACAGCAACAAGTTGCCAAGCGCACAAATGCCTCCTGCCTCACCTGGATGGAAGGTTAACTGCAAAAACACAGACAGCAGTATCCAGTGGTATTCCATAGTTATTATTCCATGGGTCTAGCCGTGAAGGTGAGCCTCTCCGGGGTTAAGGTGTCTCTACTCTACTCGCCCACGCGCGTCGGAGTTGTGGAGAAGTTGAACTGTGCGATGTGTAGAGAGGCGCACTTTACAAGCCTTTAAAGGCGCAGACGCTCAGTGGAGCTCGCCAACAAAAGCAGCAAGCAGCCGTCGCATATATCCGCAAACATTGCTGTGGAGCGCGCCAGAGTCGTGGGGACGAGACGGGGAACGACCAGGTCGGTGTGTGTGACTCTGACTGACTGTGGCGTCAACAACATGTTTATATGGGGAGCCGAGTGGTGGAGCCTATTACTCACGAGGGGAGGGAGGCGTTGTGGGACCTGTCGTCTGCTTTACCGACAAAGAAAAGACGCAGCGCAGAAACGTAGAAAAGACAAGAGTCCAGTATCCACTTTTTCTTTTGCATCTGTTATTTGATAAAACATTGAAGTCTTTCCAAACTACTTCTCTTAAAAAAAACACACTCTGAGCACACGCACATCTCTAAGGACACGATTATAATTACTTATCCAGTATTTTATTATTTATTATTGTTAGTTTTTTCACAATACACATTTGAAATCATTAAAAAACTAAATTGAGACAAGAACATCACATAATGACCCTTTGTATTTTCCCTCATGAGACCACGCATGACGGTTTTTTTCTAGTAGCACGCACTCACACACTCCCAGAGTTGGCCTAGTTTTCCATTGGCTCAAACACGCAAGCCAGGTCTGGTCTCTGCATAATGTTGAATTAGCGATTCTATATTGTTATTGAAAACAGCCGTTTTTAATCCCAACAGCAGCAAGTTTGCCCTTAATTATTTCCTTTGATTGCTCATAACAGACCTCATTATCTGTTGTGATCACAGATGTGAACGACACAATTCAGGAGAAACCATTAGGTTTGTTTTCCATTCATCCTGTGACATGACCGTTTAATTTTTAATTTACACTCTTATTATTTAACATTGTTACATATTCAGAGTTGTGCATCTTAAGTGGTTTAACCAGTTGTTGCATCACATTTTGCACACATTCTACTATGGAATCACTAAATAAATATATAAAGGTCAAAAAAAGACAAAAAGTTAGGGGGGGGGGGGGGGGCTTGTGAGAGACCGATTAAAAGGAGAATGAACAAAATCGGAGTAGCAGAGAAGGAGACATCTTGACTTATTCCTTAGATAGAGCTTCAAATTCCCTGGATCCTACATCTCCCATAATGCACCTCAATAGCATATTTCATGTTAGACCCTCACTGCCTGTGAAAATACTCCACACCCTGAATTTATTACCAGTTTATAATCAAGCAGCAACCTCCCGTTTTGAGAAATTATGCCATCGAAATGCCTAAAACTGCAGTTCTTCAAATGGCCACTCGAGGCTCTAAAAGCAAGTCAATCCCCATCGACATCTATGTTAAAATGAACAACCTTACACCCGAAATAAACATGTTTACAGCCTAGCATAAAAAAACGGTTTTGGTCTCTTTAGCTAATATTCCTGTTTATGACAACTAAATGTGCAGAGTTTATATATGACGCTCCCGTTTTAATTATATTAATTCTTAAAGTTAGGTAGAATTAAGGGTGTGGCCTCTTTGAGTGACAGCTCCACTTACATGGTGGTGGTTTCAGTGCATTTCTAAATTTTTAACAGGCCTGTAAATGAACTGTTGGCTATCAATGCCAAACTGGTAGCAGAGTTGGAAAACAAATGTATTCACAAGGTACAATATCTTGGGAGTAAAGTTAAAAAGTAAGAAAAATTGAATTACTATAGTTTTATATGAGTTTTGTTTCCATATGTTGTCATATATGGGGACATAAGGCTCGCAGAATCAGTATTCTCTTTTAAATCACTTCTTAAAACACATTGATTTTACTAAATTTACTTTATTTTATTTATTTCTTAGTTTATTTTTGATGGTATCGACCGTCTCACTGAGCTTTCTGTTATTGTTATTATTGCTTTGCTTTTGATGCTTTGTTTGTCAAAGCACTTTGTAAACTCTGTTTTCAAAGGTGCTATATAAATAAAGATATTATTATTATTATATATGTAAAATTGATGGAGTGCCCCTTTAAAAGCCATGTCGCCTGTAAATTTGCTCTGATTTAAAAGAAGTTTGGTCGGCTACACACATCCAATTTATTCTCTACAACTTGTACGACGCACCACTAGTTTCTGCCTCTACTTAAACACAACATTTGCATAATTTCGCCTTTTCTGTTGGTCAACACAGGCTGGGAGACATCCAGTGTTTACTGTCTAACTAACATGGCCACAACATGCAAACGGCTTTGGATGTGGCCGAAAACCAAACCCAAACACTGTGTGTGAGTAATGCCATACTTGTTTTTTTTGGTCAACAAATGACAACAAACCATACTGCGGTGGCCACGAATACCGCTACTACAAACCCATTTAAACAAACCTCATGAAATTTGAGAGTCATGTTCAGGAAACAGGTCATTACTCAAAATCAAAAAATGTGGCGAGAATACAAGGTTCATAACAAATGATGCAGGCGGCAGAAGCATGTGGCACAAAAATGTTCTAGACTAGACTCTTCTTGTCTTCTTGTAGCTAAACCACCATCTGCTCAGTAAATATAGCATAGAGAGAGGCAAAGTCCCGCCCCTTCCAGTGTCACTTTATTTTGGAAAAAAACGTAAAATAGTCAATGGTAAGGGATACATATTTTTGTTGATCCTGTTTAAATTGCGCCATGAATTAAAATACAATGATGTTTGTCAATTTAAAAGATCATTTGGCAGATCAACAAAGTCTCAATTTGTCGTAGTATCATTCACTACACCTCTCGTTTCGCACAATGCACATCACCAACACGGCCGTGAGCTTGGCTTGCTAGCTAGCTAGCTAGCTAACTTAGCTATGGTTCACGCACAAATGTAACGTGATCTTGCTTGATGTATTTTTAATAGAAAGAACGAGTGAGACCTGTTATTGGTGTGAGAACATCCTGGTACGAAAACACTCGTAGCTTCAGCGAAAGACGTCAATTTAAGACACTTCTGGGTTCGTCGTTTTTCTTATTGCATATGTTCACAGTCTTCACGTGCAACATTATCTTTTAACTGGACAAACACATTACATTACATTACATTATAGTCATTTAGCAGACGCTTTTATCCAAAGCGACTTACAATAAGTGTGTTCAACATCGGTATTCAAGAGAACTACTAGTCACCAGAAGTCATAAGTGCATCTCCTTTTTTAAACAAGCATCTAAGAGCATAAACTAGAGCAAACAAACTAATACGAATACAATAAGTGCAACAGTCCCGTGGTGGTCCACCAGAAGGGGCGGGACTTCGCCTCTCTATTCTCTTATAGTTTGCATATGTTTAGTCACGAGTGCTTTAGGTACCTGACACACATGGCGCTGCAGGCCGACTCATCGGACAGGGCTCCCTTAAGGAGAGTTTGAAATAAGTTCCTGTATTCATTAGCTGTTTTGGACTCTTAAGCAAAAAAAAAATGCTTGTTGTAAAAATGTCTCACCACCATTAAAGATATGAACCATAAACTCAAGCCTAAATAGGTTCTTACTGTCATTTAATATCTTTCACGATCACTTCTCATAACGTGAGCACCACAGACGACCCTTAAAGGCTCTAATGGCCTGAAACCAAACCTCTAATTTAACTTCCTCGAAGCATTAACTCCTGTAAAAGACCCATCAATTATCACACATTGATTTTTCCATTCACACAAATGTCTTTTAGGGTAACGGAAAATGTTTTGTTCTTTCTGATTAACATGTGAAAACGGGTTGTTGTCAGATTCAGAAACACAGTTATTGAATGGGAAAAATTAAATGTAGTTGCTTTTGAGGATATGAATAATGCACAAAATCAAAGCTGTATTTATACGTCCTCTTTAGCCAGAGCATCTCTACCTATAAATACATGGTTGTAATGTGAGAATGTTTCATCTACGCTGTGATCAGATAAGCGGAAGCATCGGTCTCCCCTCTCGGCCTCCATAACAAAGTTTTTAAAGTGTCTCTCTCCAAATCATGTCCTCTGTTAGGTGGAGAACATTAGGGGAAATGGCTGAGCAACATAAGTAGCAGCATCATACTTGTCTTCGTGCTAATTCATTGTTTACGTCAGTACCCGCCAACCGAGTCCAGTGAGCAACCGACTCCAAGTGAACGGTTACATTAGTCAACTTTGCCTTAACTGCTTCTGTGATAGATACACAGCAACGTGCACGCAACTATCTATTTATTTGTTACCTACATTTTTATTAATTATTCATAAACGCTTATGAAAAAGAAATGAAACATTTGTGAAGACATTTGAATCATATGAATTTTGATTTCAGTTCAAATTTTGAAGTTAAACTGCATCTTTGATAGAAAAATGATGAGGTCGCTGACACACAAAAAAAGAGCCCGTTTCAGGCTTAAATACAGCAAAAAGTGTCAGATCTTCTGTGATTTTTAAATTTGCAATTATTGGACTATCATGAAGGTCATCTGATTTATTGATGTCATGACAAATACATTTCATAATCATGTTCAGACAGCTTCCATAGTGTCTATAACGGTGCCCATTTAATGAAATAATGACCAATAATAATAATAATAGGGATTTGATGCCAGAGGTGACTGACTGCAACGAGCATGTAAAGTTTAGTGACTGCATCTTGTACGGCCGACAAAATCTATGCACAGACAGACAGACAGACATATAAACACCTGGCTCTGTGGTAGTGCATGCTTCAGTTCACATTTTGCCATAATAACTCACACACAAACTCACAAGGTGAAAACAATACCAACCACATGCTGTAGCTGCAGGTACAAATGAAACATTTTTAAACATTTACCCTTTGCGCTTTTTACTTTATAGTGTGTGTAAATGAAGACGAAGTGTCGAAGTGATCTATTTATTATAGGTTGGGCCCCAGAGGAGCGAGTTAAGTTATGGGCACAGACCGTGTAATATCCAGTGTGTGCTAACGTTCATCAAGTTTTACTCAAACAACGATGCTTTGTGAAGGCCAACATTAGTTCACACCGTCTGTTATTTCAACAGCACCAAAACTAGTCTTCAGGTTGTGACGGTTTGTGTGTTTGTGCAGAACCGTTTTTGCAACCAGCGAACAGAAGTTACTATATTTGGACTGCGGAGGGGTTACGTAAAGACGTC